AAAACTAATAACTTTGTTCCCACTTTACACAGATTACTTAAAATAACTGATTGACAAGATTGCCAAAAACTTTGAAATATTTTTTTATATGATATGAAAAGCATGTTTTGATTATGATAGCCAACTCCAGCAAGTTTAAATCCTGCTCGAGATAACAAATTTTTCACCATGAATTTTATATTGACTATATTATATATTACCTTTGATTCCAGAGTTAGTACCTTTTTGGCCAGGAGGGAGTTGTAAATATATTGGTCTATGATCTCATTAATTATACATGAGTGGCAAGTTTTAAGTGACAAGGTTCCCAGGTGCACCCTACTTTATTATTATCTAGACGATTTTATTTGTGAAAGGGAGACTATCTACCCATGCTTCCTGTTAATCAGACTATCTGCATATGCTTCCTGTTAAGCCTTTAGGTGGTAGTGTGCCAAGATGCACCCTACTTTATGATCTTATATAACTGACAATTTCACTCATTAGGGGGAGGGTGCACCCTCAATGGGTTAAAAGTGATATTGACCCTTTGAGTTACAGCTGTTGACCATTAGTAATTAATTTATCATTTTGGAAAATCGAGTATGTGAGTGAAATTATGCACCTATCAATGTTGCAAGCTGAGGGTTGCGACGAGGATGCGTCTGATGTTTACGGGCATTTGCTCAGTGATGTTTGCCCGAGTATGGGGACATTTGATAACATGCTGTGATCACAGAGTACATTAAGGGACATTTGACCACTTCTGGGACAAAAAGGCCCGGTCGCCAAATCTTCTCCATGAGGTTTTCAAAATGGCGGAAACAGCAAAGGTATGTAAAAACACGATTTCTCATGAATTATTAATTGTTTGAAAACATTCAAAGTCAATTTTTACTTATAGATGAAGCCATTTACAGCCATTTTCGTCCAAGCACAAAACCGCAAACATTTTCGCGCGTTTGTTTACGTTTGAAACGTGGCGTTTACCGTTGGAAACGGACATGTTTCACTGCTCATGTGACGTGTTATAGTGAAAAGCCTAATTCAGTTATTTTTCATGTTTTGATGTGCTTTCGTGTACTTTTCAGTATTTCCAAGCTCACGATATTGTAAGGGCGACCAAACTTGTTTATATTCATACTTTTTGTGACTAAAATGTATTATCATGGGCTTGGACATATTGAAACGTGCACGGAGGCACATCAAAACATGACAGTTGCGCCAAAAATAGCTTAAGGCTTTTCAATGTGACACGTCACATGAGCGGTGAAACATTTCAGTTTCCAACGGTAAACGCCCCGTTTCAAACGTAAACAAACGCGCGAAAATGTTTGCGGTTTGTGCTTGGACGAAAATGGCTGTAAAGTGTGGAGTGCAAATAGATCTAAAAAAGTGATCGTTGTGGCGAATTTGTTGGAAGAACTGACGAGGAAAGGTATGGAACCGCACTATATTTTAAAAGTTTATAAAACATACTGTCTTGGCATGCCATAATATATAATATATAAAATGAACTTCATGTAGGGTACTTTGTTGTGTTTAATATATTTTAAGACCCACATTTTATTCTGAAACTTTATAAATTCTAGGGTATTTTAAATACCCCCGTTGAATGATATAAAACTGTTAGTAGACAATAAAAAAATCATGTTAGGAGCTAGGTTTGAAATCAGGTTGATTTGGTCTTTCCTGTTTACGCCAATTTCTAGTTATAATATAGTCTTAGTCCCAAAAAAATGATGGGTTAACCCACACCCCAGCAGAGATGTCATCGAGAAAGATATTGCTATTAAATGGTGAACCAATTCTATTAAATACATAGGGAATGAAAAAATTGGCTTGAATCCTGTGAATGTGGGCGATCTAAAGCTTGTTTTAGAGGAAGATGGGACTGAGGTGGATCAGGATTATCTACCATTTATAGAGGCTAACACAATATTGATGCTTCTATCCACAAATGAACTATGGAGTGATCGAAAAGGTTTCAACATATTTTTTAATTATGTTGTATTAGTATATTTTATCAAATAATTTATCAAATTACTTCCTCAAATTTGCTGCCATCAACCACAAAATAGATGGTTTGGTTTAGTTGATAGTGTTGATGTTTTGATTGCATTTTTTCTCATGTGTTTATATACTTTTATATGATATTTAATTTAGGAATGTCAGCAGTCAATCAATCTGGACAAAAGGAAAATATTGCAGAATCATTAAATCGACCAACACAATATACATTAACTTCTAACCTAACCCTTGGCAACCCAATAATGGTAGGTAATCTCATTTTAATATAATGTACAAACATTTCTGGTCATTAAATGCTGTCATCTTCAATTTTGCAGGATGACATAGCTACCTCTACGACCAACACTATGGGTGATATCAAAGAGCAATAAAAAATTTTTGGACGAGAACCAAACCCTAAGAAGCTCACAAAATGGCAAGAAGCTGTTAATGATGAAGCAGCCAAACTTGTTCGTAATGACCCAATGCTTGTTCAAAATAGAGGTGATCAACAAAATTTCGAAATTTGGTCTTACATATACTGCACTGCAATGCACTGCACTGCACTGTACTGTAAATAGATGATAACGAGATAAATGAATAACAAAATGAGATAATTTAACTTGCTCTAAAATATGCGTAAGAAATTCAGGAAATTGGGTCTTGGCTAGATGTTCTTTAGCCCACAAACTGGTAATGATTCAAAGTATTATTTTGCGCTGTCTAACACCAGATGATTGTAATAATCAGTGGAAACATACTGCAAGTGTCTCCTGCTATTGTTGCTAACCCATTAACTGACAATGAGCCAAAATTTACCTACACTAGTGTATTATTCTGTCTAATGTGCCAGTGATATTACTTCTCAGTGAAAGAGTACTGACATTTTATGGTTATTTAAAATTGTCCTTTTGAATGTAGATGAATTAGTTATTTTTCTACACATAATTAATCGTTTGAAAATTGGAACTATGACTGTACCTTATCAAATCATTCTCCATTTAATTAGGCAAGCTCTTAGACAAAGCAAAAGAAACCACCGTCATTTCTCAAGGCTATGAATTTGTCAAGGGTAAGTCAAGAGCAAGATCCCTGAGTGATATTGACAGTGGTAAGTAAGGAAAGTAAAAGAAAAAAGACAGGTAAAGATGAATAAGCAAAAGAAATTCAGAATACTTCTGACATTCTAAAAAATATCCAAGAACAAATTGAAATTAAGCAACTGCGTAAACAAAAGTTGGCGAGATGGGAAAGCTGATGAATGAGAAAAAGATCTTGGAGAAACAGCTTAAGCATATGGAAAAGAAAGAAGCAAAATCGAAGTGGTACTATAACAAAAAGGGAAGCGAAAAAAGAAAGAGTGGAGAAAGCAAACAGAAAGGCAAGAGAAAATCATTTCAGATTGTAAAAATGTTCAAAAATGCTAGTGATATATTTCTGAACACACTCTTACCAGCACGTCTGACTCAAATGAGTCATTTGACACCCTTATTGTGAGCTCAGATGAAACTGAAGGTGAAATTGAAGCGGCAGCCAACATCCCATGTTTAATACATACTATGCCAACTTTCGTTGCTTCTCAGCGTTTGATTTTCGAAAAAAGTCAAAAAGTCAACCTTCTGTAGAAGAAGCAGAAGATCATTCCCCAGATTTGTTTAGCCAGCAAGAAGAAACAGGAAACCAGACCCCAGATATGTTTAGCCAGCAAGAAGAAACAGGAAACCAGTCGCCAGATATGTTTAGCCAGCAAGAAGAAACAGGAAACCAGTCGCCAGATATGTTTAGTCAGCAAGAAGAAATGTGAAACCAGTCCCCACACATGCTCAGCCAGCAGCAAACCAGTCCCCAGATATGCTCAGCCAGCAAGTGAAAAGCAATGAATGTAATGATATACAAAAACAAATGGGGACAAGAGATGGGGATTTTGCTTGAACCCCCTTCACCCTGGAACAATAGAGGTTGAAGGGGATAACGCTGTTATATTTGAACAAGAAACACAGAGGCGGTTGTCACTGCATGATAAAATTAATTATAATGTTTATGTTTCCAGATTTGAGGAACTAAATCTTGTTGACTATATCAGCACATGTTGTTTTGTTTGTGATACTCGCCATAAACAGCCCTGCAAAGACTGCAATGGAAAACTTAAAGTTGCAAGGCATATTGTTGAGTTCGGTTTTATTAAATTAACTACTGCATTTAATATGTGTAGTCCAAACGTTAGCTATTCAGCCAAAGATGCTCGAAGGAAACTTCTCCAGATGCCACTGGCAGCTGTTGGTGATAAGAAGTTAGGGACATATTAGGGCCATTTATACGAGACAAAATAAGATGCGACTTACATAAGACGCAACTTAAATAAGCGGAGTTATCGCATAAATGGTTCTCTACGGCTTTATTCTTATTTACTTGCTATAGCTATAATGTTGTTTCGGTTGTTTTGTTTTAATGTGCAAAGCTAATAATTTTACGTTGTTTCAAGTTTTGTGCATGTGTAGTTAGAATTTTTGTCCAAAATTTCTTATTTAAGACGCAACTTAAATAAGAACGGCTAAAAGTCCTGTTCTTATTTAAGTCGCGTCTTATCCAAGATGCATCTTACATAAGAATTTTGTGCCGTTTATACAACAAACTTGCGTCTTATTTAAGTTGCATCTTATGTAAGTCGCGTCTTATTTTGTCTCGTATAAATGGCCCTATTGTTTCTACCTAGTGGAGAAGAAAAGCCATACAAACTATAGAGTTTTCCAGTCGCTGCTGCATGAAACTTCCAAATGAGATTCCAAACAGCATATGACTCAGGAGGAGGTTAAGAAGCTACTTTTTCTTGCTGAAAGCGAATCTGAAAGAGAACGGCTTAAGTATTCCATTGTAAAATCAGCTGGAATCTCGGGTACAGAAGGAAGAAACGATACGGTTTTGGAGACATTAATAAGAGAGTTGAACAGGTTGAGAAAGCTGCCCAATCGGCACAAGACATAATGGACTCAATAGAGAAAATCGCTCATTTGAAAGAAAAAGGATTGCTAGAAGCTTTTGGAATACCAATATCTAGTGAGAGTGAAGGTTCAGAAAGCGAGACTGACCGAGAATTAACAGATGAAGTAGCCTATTTGCCTGGCAGCGAAAATCCTAAATCTGCAAATGTTATCACTACAACATCAATAATTAGGAATGCAAGTTCTGACGATTTGTTAAATATTCTCAGAAATAGTGATTACAATTGGCTGGAATTTGTGAACTTAGCACAAGAAAATATGAAGGAATTACATGAAACTGCATTTCAAGATAGTATTTCAGACTTTTATCATAAACTGCCTTCTCTTGGAATGTCTAATTCAGATATCCAAATTGTACAACAATCACACAAAGTTTACATTTTGAATAAATCTATGGAAGAGAGAGACCATGCCATTCAATCTGGCAACATAGTTCCGAGTCGGATGAAAGCAGTAGTGATGATATTCGCAAGATTCAGAGTCCTTTTGATGTTCCTGGCCAGTTTTTGATCACGAAAAGAAGAGATGCATTACATAGAAAAGCCACCAGAGATGCCAAAAGAAAAATTGCGGAACAACGCTTCTTAAAGCGACGGAAAAGTAAAAAAGTAGCCAAGATTCTGCAAGATTGTCCGGATATAGAAAAAACGATTGAAGATTTTGTTGAAAGAATTGGAGCAGGCGCTGACACATGGCGCCAGACAGGGGTAATTACCTTTGACGGGAACAAGAAACTTGAAAAGAAGGCAACGTTCAAGCGAGTCAAGGAGCATTTAGAAGAAAAATACCAAAGAAGTATCTCTTATGGAACGGTTGTGCAACTCTGTATAGAAAGAAATAAACGAAGAAGATCGGCATTAAGGTATCATGGTGAGGCAAAAGTTATTCAAAAGAAAGCAAGGAAAGGGTTTAACATCAAGTACAATCCGGACTCGCACTGGAGCAACGCCCTTTATTCAGGTTTAAGATGCCCTGCAATATCGAGATGGAACAAATGTTGTAAACTTAGGAAGAGATGATCAAGCTGGGTTTTGTTTAGATACTCTAGCCACCCATAGACTTCATGGTAATCTCTGTGTAAAAGGCAAAGAAACGCTTGCAATAAGGACAGACTACGTCAATAAATATCCGTCCACATTACAAACAACCTCTTACAATTTCCCTGGGACAGAAACCACAGGAGAAATTGCATGGAGAAATTGCATGGGTGTGGTTAAGGCTCCTGTGTTATTCAGCAAAAACTCTGCCCAAAACTTTGCAGATCTAGAAGCTATTTCAAAAAATGAGTGTTCCAAGCCCGCATTTATCAACCCAACAACTGGTACAAGAAAAGAAATAGAGTGTGTCCGCGTTGATGGCGGGTATGACGAAGGACCTGCACATTTGGAAACAGTACTGGTGGACGTCACATCATTTGAACTCTGGTAGCCATGCATTACTGGTGACATCTAGGAACGGCGGGGCAAGCTTTCGTAATCGTGTAGAGTTGCAGAATGGGTGTCTTGCTCTTGCCCACTCAAATCTATTTATTCCGTCGACGTTAAATGGGTCTTGTACATCAGAAAGGGGAAATGTGAATAAAGAAGTTTTGAAGAGAAACCTCAACTCGGCAATTGATCTATATATTTCTCGTGTGGACGGTGCCCATGTGCTTCAACCCAGATTCATTTGATAAAAGGCGCAGATAATAAAGCCTACCAAGACGAAAATGAGCTTCTCAAAGTGTTTTTGAAAGGTAAAAAAGGTGAAAAGGAAGCTTTGGAAAGAGATCACCCTGAAGCATATTCCAAGTTCCAACGTATATGGCAACTTTGTAATAACCATTTACACAAGGAACTGCCTGTGAAGTATGTTTTCTACCTTACTTGTTGTTATGAAAAAACCTGCATTCACAAGATATGCAAGAAAGGAAGGCCCGAAAAAGAATTGACCTGGTATCCGAATGGTCCACCAATATCCTTTTTCCCTATTCCGCGACCAGATCCTGAAAGACCACATGGTTCCACCTGTTGTGCAGAATGCAAAGACGGTTGTGCTGGTCATTACTTGAAACCTCAAGCTCTTCTTCAATTATCTGACAAAGATACACCAAGAGCTGACGGAAACTGTCAACCGCCTTCTATTTCCATTTTGTGAGTATTTAACAAGTATAAAGTGGTCCCATCATTAGAGGTAATCGATGACACAGCACAAAAGGTTTTACTGAGTGTTGATAAAACTAAAATGTGGTTTGAGCACTTGAATCAAATAGCAGCAAACAGAGCGAAAGGGGCAAAAAAAGCAGCTGAAACGAGAAGGAAGAAAAAAGGCCAGGCTAATAATTCAACAACCAATGACCTACCAGGACAATCATTGGAAAGTGCAGAGGACATTTGCCTTATCTGCGATATGGCTGACCCTCCATTGTCTGATGACGAAGACGTAGACAGTGTAGTCCCTTGGATAAGTTGCGATGGATGTGCATCATGGTGCCATATGGTCTGCGCAAACATACTTTCAAGTGAAGTTCCCAATCATTGGCTTTGTATAAACTGCCAAGAAATTTGGTAACTGCTATATAAACTCTATACAGTAATAAATATCAGTTCAATCATATACTTGTAAACGTTTTCTTCTAGATTACATTGATATTGTGGTGCATAGACAATTTATTCATGGTCGTCTTATTAAAACAAGAGGAAATTTTGTTCTTGCCCAATTTAATAGAACATTTGTTAACATTTTGCCCTTAGCCAATCAGAATGCTAAAACGCCAATAACTCCATGTGTACGTTTGAATATTTGGCGTTTTACGCATTCTGATTTTCATAGGGCGAAAATGTAAACAAACGTGCTAATTATTACTCTCCCTTCTACTAATAAACAGGATACATTGATGTGGGGTATTTGAACAGGAAGCAAAGAAATAGCAGAGGTATTTTGATGAGTTTTGACCAGCGCGGATTTCTGAATACGGGATGTTTGACAAAATATTTCAACAAAAATTAAAATCTATTGTCGCCCGCCCCTCAGGCTTAACATTGATAGGTGCATTACAATGATCAGATCTATCAAGTCTGATAGATAGTAAGATACTCTGCACTGTGTTCTCTATATTTTATCTGAGCCCCCACTTTCTTATTGTACCTTATCATTTTACTCTCTAATGCCAGACGATTTTACTCATCAGGGAGAGGGTGCTGGCAGTTAATGGCTCAATAAAAATAGTGTCACTTAATAACACATCGAAAAAGTAATCATATTAGGGTGCAACAGGTGTTCGGTATGTTTTATAGTTTATACTATGAAAAATTTATCAATGTTATCTTGTGATTTTGAAATTTCATTAACTTTGTGAAATAGTATAGGAAATACCTTTAAGAAATAATAAATACTACTTTGGAATCCTTCACGTCTAGGGTGATTTTTCCATTCTCATCCTGATGTCTTCTGTCGACGTGCTTGATTATTGCTTGGGCTTTATTCTTTGGCTTTTCTTCGTCACATTTGCACGTTGCCTCTACACTCTTCTCCAACAACAGCCTTCTTAGCAACCCTCTCCAGGACAGGTCCGCAAGAGTTTTGTTTTTGAATGTTCCAGTAGTTCATTCTTGATTTTCACCCCGAGTTTCATTAGGTTTTGAGAGGGCAACAAAAAATATTTTTCAAAAAATTATTTTAGTCCTCAAGAGACAGCACATTTTCTCCAAGGGACAGTGCACTTTCTTCATCAGGCAGCACAGTTTGTGAGCAAACGATACAGTTTGTGAGGAAACGAAACCAATTCGGGTAATCCAATGTATGGGCCGTCTGAAGGATGTTGCTCCGACTCAACAGGACAAGGAGAGGAAGGCTGCTGGCCAGATGAAGGCATGGAGGCGTCCTGTGTACACGACGGCAGAGCATATTCTCTAGAAAACACAAGGAAAGGAACTGCAATTTAATAAAAACTTGGGATATGTTAGGTAGTATAGACTGACAAAAGGAACACATGCAACTTGGTATGTTGCAGTCAGGGCTGTAAATACTTGTTACAATTGTAACACATTACTGTGTACTCGTTACATTTGAAGTAATTTTAACCTGTAATTAATTATGTTGTTCGTTACATTTGTAAAAACGTAATTAATTACAGGTTAAAATTACTTCAAATGTAACGAGTATGAGGAACATGTTCCTTTTCTTATTTTGTTAAAAATAAATAAAAAATATGTTACGACAAAAATTCAGAAAAATGGCTGAAATCATATTCAACAAGATCAGATGGCATGATAGCCTGCATGAAGTACTATTTATTGCGAAAGTGGAAACCACAATTTGTTCTGAGGCTTAGAGTGCCAAATGTTGGCAAATAAAGTTTTAAGTTTACATGCTTCGATTTGCATGTCAAATGTTTTAATATATTGAATTATTATAATATAGCATTTGTAAATTCTGAATGCTGATTGGCTAAGAGCTGTGTTGATATAACTCAATGTCAACATGGAAATGTCGGAAAATTTCTTTCTTTATGTTTCTTTGTGCTATATTATAAAACAAATATAAAACATTTTTTTCTGTATTGATATACAGTTATATCAACACTCGTGGAAATTGGGAAAACTCAAAATTGTGAGAAAACACGCCGCCCATCAGGCGTCGTGTTTCCACACAATTTCTCATTTTCCCAATTTCCACTTGTGTTGATATAACTGTATATCAACACGGAAAATGTTTTATATTTGTTAAATATCATCTTGATAAATTCTTGCAAATTTCATAGTTTATACAGTTTTTATTTACAACTACAGTTTAAGATATTGTCTTATAATATATATAGTAACAATTTGCTGGTAAAGGATAGTGTTAAGTTTCCCCGAGTGTCTCAAGACTTTCAACATTAAATAGCAACTGTTCGTAAAATCTATGTATTTTTGGAACTTCTCGCTGAGAGTCAGCTAGAAATGGCAATTCAATAATATTGGTAGCATAAGACCCATAACTTCATCAGGTGACCGTATTTATCTCTTAAATATTTCATGGCTCGCTTATACCCTTCATCAGTAAATGGCAGACAATCAATTGCACTTCGAATATGCGGCTCTACAAGTTCCTGTAGATGAGAGAACTTTGTGATTGCAGGGACATTTAGCGAGTCAACCATTGCGTCAAACTGACCAGAGAATCTAACCCAATCATGTGGTTTTCTGTTGAACTTATTAATATTTAATTTTGGCAATCTGACAGTGCCTTCTGCAAGCTTTTTTGTTTTCACAGCGGCCAAGCTTTTGCTCTAAAATCTGTTTCTCAAACATCATTACTTGGTTGCACAACTAATTCTAGCTCTTTTGCCTTCGTTCCAATTTCCTTAACAACATTATATAGCTTTTCACAACACTGGTCAGCTGTGGCGACTCGCGTGTCGATGTCTTACAACCATTGTTCAACATATGAACCTCTCAAATTCACTTTGCCCGAATTTCGCTTCTTCGATAGACCCCTTTAAAGATAGGTTACAGTCGCATGTGCTGGCTTTGTTTACTTTTTTGTTTTGAATTTTGATCCACATTAATTATATAAGACAAAGTATATGATGAGTTCAAAACATGTTAAAGTAACATTCCACTTAATTTGCAACCGAGGAGTGCAATGTTTGACAATACTTTGCTGCATTTCTTATACATTTATACACTGGAAATTCTTTTCCACAATAACACAATTGTAACTGTAATACTGTAACTTTTTAACCTAATAATGGTGAATAAAGAGGCTTTGAACCTTGACTTGATAGCTCAACAGCTGGATTGGTGAACCGGAATCCCGAAGGTGTGAGTTTGAATAATTTGTGTTTACCTTTGAAGTTTGTGTTTAATTATGAAAATAGTTCATGCAGTGTCACTCACTCAAAACATGTTGCCAGAGACTGAGTTGTTGCAATTATGACAGAAGTACTTGAGGAAAGCTTTTCACTTGACAAATTCGAATCAAGTGTGATTGATGTGGCTACAGTTCCTGTCTTCGTGGCAAAGCCAAGGGGGAATTTTTGACCGTGCAAAAGCTGGATGAACAGCTTTTGTTCAAGTTCGTGCCCAATATCTATGGAGATGATTTCGGATGCTGTATAAACAACAAAAGAATTCAAGAGATTGACAGGAACGAGACGCTAAGATTATATTAATTTTTTTGTTATAAAAATGTATGCTTTGAAATTATGAACTGGAAGTATGAATTCATTGATATTACTCTCTGAGTCTCATAATTGACACTAAATGACAACACTCATATTGACACCAAATGATGTAATATTAACTTCAACAATTCTGGCACATTTTCTGGTGATGTTGGTTCATTAGATTCTCTTCTAGATGGAGGACAATGCCAGTGGCTAAATTAGTAAATATAATATACGCTTGTTTCGCTCTATATCAGAGCTCGTCAGAATGCCCAAGAAACACGGATGAATTTTTTATTTACATCAATGAATCTTTCTTTTTTAACAGATTTATTGGTTTATATGGTAATACAAATAATTTATAAACAATTATTAACATACATATATACAGACATTAAAAGAGAACTCCAAGGGGAAAAGCACGAACATGACTCAAGGGCTTTATATGCCCCCTGAGAATACTGAATATAGCTACTAAATATAATTACTGTTTGCAACATGAACAGTCAGATAAGCACCATTTACATAAGAAACCTGTTTTAGGCTAACTTGGGAAAAATCTAGGTTCTTATATGCAGGGTTTTATTGTGTTGTCTAATTTCATGTCCCAAAACAGACCATGGCAGCCTGTTCTGACAACATATATTATGGGATGGTGCCACTCTTTGTGACACAAAATCAGGCAATTATAGTACAATATGAACTGGCAAGTCTCTGGCACCTTAAAACCAGACTGCTTTGTGTAGGTAGAGCTCTAAGCCTTGGCTGGCAATCCATCTACGAGAAAGAAAGCTCTGATTTCAAACTCCCAGACCCCACTTTTGGACAAGACATGTATAGTAACTATATCAGTCCTGATCATCTAAAAATGCCAGTATATATGCACTTGTACAAAGCTGTATGCATTTTTGTATCTGCGAAGCAGATATATTGCCATCGTGCGCGTACCGGAAATTTGTAAGCGTGCTCATAGCCAATCAACGACAGCTTATAGATGAAATGACGTAATGATACTAATTTCAAAATGGCGGCTTACTAAAGTGTGAAACAAAAGGCAATTTGTGAATATACGAAATCAAATGCAGTTTAAAACAACGTCATTTTACTAGTCTGAATATGGCAAATATCGCTAGTGCATTTTTGGCAAGCATTTGAAAGGTTTCATCATTTAATACGCAGTGGAAACGAAATGATTTGCAATTTTGGACAAGAAAATTATTGACTAATGGCATTGAGAATACTATTATGAAATTATGAAAGTAATGATTCTTCCACATGTTGCCGTTGTTGGTGTATATCGAGTTGTAAGTGTTGATGTTGATGTTTATGTACTTCTCAATTTAACATTTTCATTGGTGACTTAGTTAATATAAATTAATTGAATGAAACCAATAGAAGGCTATATAATTTTGTAAGGTTACAAAATTTCTTTATCAATGATTATAACTATAGACAATTGGTGTCTGCTTTCATTACAGACTTTGATAGATCATTTTTATACAAATTTAGCAGAGTCAGAAGCTAAGTCACACATATTGGAAACATTTCTCTTAAAGCACTTTATAGCAGTTTGTGCATTGAATAATTGCTTTCATTAAAGCAAAGCCAAAGTAATAGTGGCTGCATAATGCATGAGTCAATTCCTGGAGTAACCATCCCCCCCCCCTGGGGACACCCCCGGGCATTTGCCCGATAGACAGTTCACAGGGGTCGGGAATTTGCCTTTCATATATGTGCACGGGGGCCGGGTATTGGAGGACCCCGGGGATTTGACAAATGGTTGCCCAGAATCCCACCCACAAATTTTAAGGCAGCAAAACATAGTTCAGGCAAGCATGTGGGCGCGTGTGATCATGTTTTGCGGCCTCGTGGTCAAGGTGGCGTGAAATTTATTGTAAGAATAAGCGAAAATTATACCCTCTGCTATGCAAATTTAAATACAACTATTAAAGGTTTATGTTTGATAATATTCCATAGCAGTTTAATACTATAATGTTATTAAATGACTATGATTATATGCCTTTAAAAGTTTAATTAATGTTTACAGTCGATTTCACGAAAATTTGACCACAAAATTTCCGAACTTCGTTGCGAAGTTCACAAGATTGTTGCGAAGTTCAAAAGTTCATAATGAGATTCACAAACCAGTTCGTAAACTACGCATTTGATTGGCTTCTTTTACTTCAAGGATCAATCAGGGACTTTGTTTACAAATTGGCTTCTGAATTCCAATATGAGCTTCCAAACTTCACAACGAACTTGCGAACTTCGCAACGAAATTCGGAACATTTGTGGTCAAAGTTTCGTGAAATCGACTGTAAAATCGTCCCCGGGGTGGGGCATTTTCCACTCTCAGCTTGCCCAGGGGCCGTGCATTAGTCTTCAAGTTGTGTCCCGGCACCCGGGCATTTACACTATCATGACCAATCAAATCAAATGCCCGGGTGTGTTCCCGGGGGGGGGATGGTTACTCCTGGAATTGACTCATGCATTATTATTGTATATATATATATATATATATATATATATATATATATATATATATATATATATATATATATATATATATATATATATATATATATATATATATATATATATATATCCTGGACGGGGTGCTCCATTCTTCATCCACCCTGATTTCTGCAACTGAATGTCATTGCCAAGAACACCAGGCAAGCAATTTATATCCCCTTCACCTATCCCATACTATATTGTCTTATAATCAACAACAACCATATGTCATAATGGGATCTTATTTATAGCACAAAATGTACAAAACTAACATAATATTCTGTTTAATGGATTTTCTTCCACGACAAAATATTATTGCATGGATGTGGTATGCTGAATTATATCATTCTATTCAAGAACTATATGCATCGATTATACTTCTAATTTCCATACTTGTCATCATTTGTTGCTGATGAATGACTTTCAATATATGACCTATTTGATATATTTACTAGGCATAAACAGTTGATTTGTGTGCCATCAACCCTGACTATGACATTTTCTAAAAGGAAATAGATTATACTTAAAAACAATTATAAACAGCAGAAATGTTGATGTTATGTATGTATCAATTATGGTATAAGAAGGCTTCCAAAACTCTGCAAAATGTAAAGTTAAAACTAAGACATAAACTTCTCCAGCAATTCCTGGATAGTTATTAAGTACTTGTTTTTCAGTAGTTGATCAATAAGCGTTGTCGATGCTACTTGGTGTGTTATCATTGCTGTTGATGTTGATGTCGCAGTTTTTGTGAAATTTTCCTTGTTTGCTAGTAATCTGTTTCAATAAAATTAATTAGGACTAATGTAGTAATAATACAGTAAGTTTATGTGTTTGTAATTTTTGTCACTGAAAAGCCCCTTCAGGGGAGTGTCAATAATGTCAATGAATCAATTAATCAACAATGAACAACAATGTATATTGGCACCACCTGTTATCCTGACAACTTCTATGCATCTACCATGTTCTCGCATGCCTGCTAAAGTTTATTATGAACTATCAAGAAGATTTGGAACCCGAAATGTTTTAACAAGAACACAGAGATGGATTTACTGGGGGGAGGGGGGTGCACCCCCCTAGCCCTGGCCAGAGGGGGTGCAGGAGAGGGGTCCTATTTTTCATGATAAACAAAAAATTATTAGAAACAAAATGAGATACAGAAATTTGAGTAATAATATGATGATAGGCAAACTGTGAACAACAATTACAATTCAAATACTGTAGTCAAGCAAGACTTTGCAATAGTGAAGCAAGTTGATGGGTGGGTGGCACACATGACCGACACAACTCGGCACCAGAGCGGACAGAGTACCCCCCCCTATCAGATCATGCTGGATCCATCCCTGCAAGAACATTATAAAATTAAGATGATTCAACAAGAACATCATAAAATTGAATATCATCTTTGTGACGTTATGGCCGGAATTAGTTTCTGCAAGTTGAATATATATCAGCCATTTTATTTTTCTTTCATCTGA